TGTTTGACACACATTTTCTAAAAATACACTCTTTCAAAACTCATTTTCAACCCCCACATTCTTCAATAAAATAATATTTTACATCACATCAATAACTTTTATTTACTTTTTAACTACATATTTCCCATCATATCACTATTTAAAATACATTCTTTCCTCAATAATATCCATCAAACACACCCTTAGTAACTCAATTTTGCCGAAAGCAATGGCCTCTACTATAATTCAGACCTCAAAGACAACTGCAGACAAATCCAAATCAAAGGATGCCTCGTATTTTTGGGGTAATCGTAGTATTCCAGAAACAATCAAATAAAGCAAATGCACAGAAATGATAAGGAATTCAACACATTGTAGCACGGTGGACCTAGGATAATACTTTGGGCTGGGCTAAAATTTATAGTCGGGTCCAACATGGGCTTTTTGAGGGTGCCTAAATGTTTTCTAGACTGATTTTATGAAGTAAAAAATTGAGTTAATTGTCAAAACTTAGGCTGAGCTATAGTCCATTTAGTCTCCACAAGGTCCATGTATTTTGTATCACCTGAAAACAAAGTGTAAAAGAAAAACTGGAAAGAACATTGTCAATCATGATAACCACTGCATGCATGCTCATAGTGCTAATGCTTTCAGAGAGCCAGCAAGTGCAGATAAAAACGTAAACTGCAAGGCACAGATTTAGCACCTTTTAATCCTACAATACTGCAAGCAATAGGTAGAAAGAACCATGATGTAGGATAGCTAAGAAAATCTGGGTTTCTTTTCTCTACCATGTATAGCTGGAAATGAACTTCTTCAACAGGAGAAGATAAAAGTTTTGAGGGCTAGTTGCTGAAATCTTAAGTTACATTAATTTTTTAATTATTTTTTTAAAATTTTAGTAAGTTATTGGCTATGATTTGCTGCATTTGCTTAAATTTCGGAGTCAAAATCCTAGTGTTCAGGGGTGCTCCAGAGTAGTCCAAAAGAATTACAGATTCAGCCGTAGAAGTGCTTGATCTCCATAGAGAAAAAGTGAGCAAGAAACTTAGGATTCAACACCTTTATGAGCAATCTTTCAAGCTTGGCCATCTCATGAGGTATCAGTTTGACCATCTCATGAGACACAAGCTCTGCCATTCCTTGAGGCGTAAGCTCGACCATCTCTTGAGACATGAGCTTGACCATCACAAAGATTGAGTCTCTTTAAGCATAAGCTCTCTGAGTCTTTCCCCCAGTCATCCAGAGGAGTTTGGCCATTTTTAGCACATATCACCTCTGTTGAGCTTGTCAGAAGGTATGTGCATGCGCATTTTGGCATAGTTACAGCCTTACAGGTACTTCGGAAATACTTTTCGTTGCTATCTTCATGGTCACTTGGTTTCCTCAAGAACCGACAAGGAGACCTGTTCGGTGCCATCATTGAAATGAGCATTATAATCTTGATTCTACAGTGGTATCTGAGCTAATTGGAGTTGATCCAAGCAACAAATGGTGGCAGCTGAATCTTGGACAATTGAACGACGGTCTCTAAGTTGGTTATTCCCAGTTCACCTTTAGTGGAGGCATCCTGTAAGTTTCTTGTCCTTTGTTTAGTTTGAAACAATATAAGAAATGGACACTAAATTGCATCCTTCTCCACAAGAACCGAATGCAGAGCTTTTATAATTATAATAACATCTGTCAGATTGAGAATGGTCTTGTTGGTAGTGGCCATTTGGTTTTCCAAAACAAATAAAGATGAAGGCCTATGGAGTGGCCTAGGACACAGTCTCCTTGAAGGCATCAACTCCTCTACTTCTCTCACTACGTTTGTCATCTGTATTCGTATGAATCTTCTTGATATGCAAGCATAAGGTTAAAAGTACTTCAGATGAACTAATGCAACTAGGTGTAAGCTTTGTTGCTGAGAAACTCCTAGTGCTGATCACGGAAGAGACACGAAAGTGCAGATAGCGCCAGTTAACAAAGTGGAATTAAGAATCCCTTGTAGTGTGAAATGAGAGATTGAGACACATCATCTATGTTTGTACCGTCCCTCGTAGAATTGATCTCCCGTCCAACTAAGTATTTGACAGGGAATGCGAGAATTCTTACTACTGCTGGCAAGCCAATGAGCTGATAGCAGAAACCCATTCAAAGCTCAATGATAGTGCTCAACTTTATCTTAGGGCTACCTAGAAGTTGGAAAGTGAAATGAGGAGCTGAAACGTACACATGAGCAACCCAACTTACATGACTAATACCTTCTTCCAAACTCAAATCTTTTTGTGGCTGTGCACAAAATAAAAAGTTAAAGCAAGAAAGAAGCAACTTCTTGAGCACTAGAAGATCATCAAGAGGACAACTTTCTTTTGTATGTAATGTGCTAACGCACATCTTCTACTAGTCCCAGATAATAAGTTAACATAAGAGATCCAGATAATAAGATAACATAAGAGATCCTGAAAAGGTGCATTTTTGGTATGCGCTCACTAGTCATAGGTTGATGTGTTCTTAGCTCAATTGGAGATAGGTATAATCGACCAAACTGAGGCATGACTCGGCCATTGCTCAAGGCACGAGGAGCAAGACCACTTCCTGGCTAGGTTAACTTGCAGACTTTTAATTCTATTGCCACGTTAATTTGGCTCGATCCCAAAATGACACTTCATTCTTGGATATAACAACTAAAATTACCAATATAACAATGCATGTATTCAATGACCTGGCTGGGTTAACTCACAGACTTTAACTTCTATTGCCACGCTAATGTGGCCGATCCCAAAATGACACTTCATTCTTGGCTACAACAACTAACAAAAACTGAACTTACAAATATAACAATGCAACCAAAATGAATCAAATCCAGAATTTCAAGAAACAAATTCCAATCATTATACATGTTAAAATCCAAATATTCACACATTCATTCATTATTCTAAAAATGAAACCGGAAGGAAAAAAAAGGTGAAAACTTACCCATGGCCATCAAGAACATTTCTTGATATCTTCATCTTCCTCGTAGCACCCTTGTACAGCTCCTCCAAGGTACATATCAACTCATTCTCCACCGGTGGTGCCTTTCTCAATCCCCCCGCACCACCACCTGAATTTTCCCCACCTCCATACCTCGTCCCACCATTCATATTTGTACTCCTAAAATACCCATCTCTCTTCACCCCGCTGCCACCACCACCATTATTCCCATTCCCACTATAACCCCCATTACTACTGTCCCCAAAAATTTCCGCAAAAATATCAGCAGGGGTCCGAGGATTGAACCGGAAATTCGGGTCAGGACGTTGCTGATTAGTACCATAACCTCGGGCGCTTCGTTTGGGCGGTGGAGCTTGGCCGGACTTGAGACCCTCCTCGCCATATAGATCGTAGATCTGGCGTTTTTCTGGGTCGCTCAAAACGTCGTAGGCTTCGGAAATTTGCTTGAACTTGGCTTCGGCTTCTAACTTGTTGGCATTTTTGTCTGGGTGCCAAATCATGGCCAGGCGCCGATAAGCCTTCTTCAAGTCCTCGTCGCTCGCATTGCGGTTAACTTTGAGAATATTGTAATAATCTACACCCATTTTTCGCTGGTTTTTTTTTTTTTTTTGAACCGTGCGATTATATATATGTACTTCTGTATGTATGTAAAGGTGGAATGAGCTGAGAGGGAAAAGGGGGAATCTTGGTGGAATTTGGGGGGAATGTGACAGGAAATTTTGGCGATCCAAGGAAGGTGACAAATATGGCGTTAATTTAATCAATGGTAACTCAACTTTGCTATACGTTGCTAGTTGATTATCGGAAAATTATTCTTTGCTATTGAATTTTGGTATAAATTACCAAAAGTTAAAAGATTATTCGTTGCTAACCTCAATTTGTCCACTGAACTTTGCTATATGTAACACTGATGAAAATGATATGAGTAATTGATGAATAACTTTATTCAAATTTGGGTAAACAACAAATATCCTTTTAAATTTCATGATCAAATAATAATTTATAGCAAAAGTTCAGTGATCATTAATTAAATTATATGAGATTGTTGTGAAGTGGCGGTCAAACTAAAAGTGATGATTTTTATTTTCTTGAATAATGTTAGTGGTACATCAAAAGGTGTACCTACAGGTTAAACCCCCCTCACATGGGGGTGAGACACACTTAAATTAAAAAAAAAAAATATTTGAGTCTCACCCCCATGTGAGGGAGGTGTAACCCATCAGGTACACCACTATGTACCATTAGCAAAACCCTATTTCCTTTCTTTGGAAGCTAGCAAAATGAGATTTTGGGGAAGGGTGATTTTGTCAATATGCTTTTTTTTTTTTTGTAGACTGTAAAGTCTTCTCTCTTCTAACAGGCTTTTTAGACAGAAATCCATCATGAGGCTATTCCCTCACCAACTAACCAACCAAACGCAAGTCATTTATCAACCTACGGTATTAATAGTCGTTTCTAGCTTTTGTACCTCTCCTAGAAGAGGTAATGTACGTGTTATTCACATGTCCATCATCAAAAACACCATCTTACATTCGACTTGCATGTGTGAATGCCCTTGGTTTTATTTAGAGGAGATTGATTTTATTTTCTTTCTCTATTAAAACAATTGTTCAAACTTTAACTTAATCGGAGAAATAGTTTTATCAATTATATAAGAATAATAATCAACATTAAAAGATTTTTCAACTGAATGTGTTATCTCATCATTGACATTTTCACCAATTGCTTCTTTCTACTAATATTAAGCTTTTCATGAAATATATATTCAACTTTCAATCGAGCAGCAAATTTTTAACACTAATCTTGTAATATTCAACTGAATGTGTTATCCCATCATTGACATTTTCATCAATTGCTTCTTTCTACGAATAATAAGCTTTTCATGAAATATATATTCAACTTTCATTCGAGCAGCAAATTTTTAACACTAATCCTCTTATATTCAAATCCATTTTTTTATACGTTTTAGAAAATGAAAGAAGTATTTTTAAGTTAATAATAGCAGCATCAATGTACACGTCCTCACTTTGCAATATTTGCTTACTCTATTAATGACAGGCAACATATTGTACCAAATAAACATGCCAAGCAAGAACTCAAAAATCATAATGTTAGAATACAAACTTTTAGCATCTCTAAATACCTTTTAACACTTTCAATCAAATTTGCCCAACGCGTTTGTGATAGTGTAAGAAACTGTTGAACCTTTCACATTGTACAGAAATAACCCTTATTTTGCGTATATATATTTTTCAGTATTAGTGTCAAAGGCAGTAAACATAAGTTAGAGAATTTGCAAAGAATTGAAAGGTCAAGTAACAAACAAAAGAAACGATAAAGAGAAAAAAATAGGACGAAGGATCAGCTTGAAAATGAGAAAAAAAATAAATGAAAAATCACGAATATGGAATTTAAGAATGTGTTTTGTCATAAAATTGATGTAACTATCTTAGGGGAATATGTTAGGAAACAAACTTTTGTTCTCGTTTGTACTGGTGTAACTTAAAAAATTAAAATAACAAAGATAATCTCATCAAGAAATTAGGATCCGTTTGATTGTAAGAGTGAAATTTGGGTGAAATGAATTTCAGATAATTGAATTGTCTAGAATTGTTTTCCTAAAAATTGTCAATTAATTGTGTTTGATTAGTATAATTTTTCACGAAATTTTGGATCTTTTAGTCTTCGTTTGACTTTATTTTACATGAAAATTGTCCATTAAAGGGGATATAGTTTGTTACAATTGAGGATAGAATTTGTTTCCATTGTCCAAAAAAAAAAGTAGCAATTGGTTGGTTTTGGTTTTCCTCAAAACCATGAAATTGGAACCGTGTAAAGCAAAAGATGAAAAATGAATTGTCGTGAATATTTTCTCAATCAAACATGACTTTTGGTAGAAGATAGGGATTTCATTTCCAAATTTCATGAAAAAATTGTCAAATCAAACAGGGCCTTAGACTAGAAAGATTAGCATCAACAGTGGACCACAACGTGTTGTGCACAACTTGTAATGCTAATCTAATGTTGACTTTTCTTACATCGTTAAATTGACAAGTCATGATCAAGTTGAATATGTCCACAAATTCAGCAAACAATACTGATTGACAGTTTACTAAACAAATCTATTAGTCTACGGATGAAATTGAAATAAACAGACACATTTGCTAAGCTCGACTCAGCAAGAGAAACGAGAGAAATTCTCAATGTTTCCCTTTTAATCATGTACAATCTTGTTTATTATATGTAAATCACATAGGTACTTTAGTTAGTCTTCCGTCACACGCAGAGAAGCGGAGACTGATAGAATGACTTCATTAAAACAACATTATAAGTTCGATAATTAACATTGTGTTAAAACATGTCTGGCCAAAAAATTGCGTTAGCTTATGAGTTGAGGGCTCGTAAATTGTGTAGTCCAAAATTCACACAACTGTGGATTCTGCAACTTATAAGCTTGGATAAGTTGGTAATTACCCTTTTTCGTTGCGATTGCAAGAATGTGAAGTCTTGATATCTAACAATTCTCATCTCCAATTTCTAAATTAACAAATTTAACTGTTATATGTGCTTGGTTTAAAATGGCACAAAGTACAGAACAAAGTAACACATATACAGAAGGGTGCAACACAAACATGGAACCTATATCATAAGCCTACACATCCTATTAACAAAAACTCGTAAAAAAATCATCCCCGAAACCCGTTACTCGTTATGCCAAAAGCCAACAATTTCAACAATAAAAACCAAATGTTGCATTATCAATCAAAACCCGAGTCTTGAAGCTCCTTTGTGAAGCTTCACCTGCCAAGAAGTATCAGGTGTCAAAGCCAGTGAGTTGGAGGTCTATTCGTCTGGCTATCAGGAGAAGAGAAAGAATAAATGAACTCAAGCCGAATTGTGATTGTGAAACTTCAAACGACAACAGTTTGACCGGTAAGACCATCTTGAAGCTGCAGAGAGCCATCTTTCATGAGATTAAGGCTCAAGCTCTTGAACCTCTCTCTTGAGTACTGACGGGATGCCTTTCTCCAATCCGTTCCAGTTTTCATCATTGCAACGAACTCCTCATAATCGATTCGTCCATCCTGAAAGAAAGCGATTACAAGGGATAAGACATGAGTAGAAATTTTGTCTCCTGTTTGGTGGGGATTAAAATTAAATTTTTAGTAAATCTTTATAAAAGCTAAATGAAACGTGTGATTGAAAAGTAGTGAGTCTCATATAGTTAAAATTAATTATTGATTTGATTTGCATTAAAATCTAAATTTTAATCCATACCAAACAAACTTTAACTTTCCACAGGGTAATACTAAACCAAATTCAACCCTTATCTATGCAATGATTGTAATGAATAGTAGCAGGATAATATATTGACAAGAGAAAGATGACACAAGAATTGCATCTAACCTTATTTGTATCAACTTCTCGCATAATGTCATTTAATACATCTACATTAGTTTCACCAGATTCATCAGCTAAAGCTTCTCGAAGTTCATCAATCTCAATATACCCACTTCCGTCTAGGTCAAAGAACATAAATGCTCTATGAAAGTGCTCGTCATTCTCCATTCTTTGCAAGTGGATTGTTACTGCAACAAACTCCCCATAGTCCAAGACTCCATTTCCATCAACATCAGCCTATTAAACATTCACATTGTAATCTTCATTAGTAGTCAGTACAAGGTAGAAATAATATCTGGAAATTTGGAACTGCGTATAGCGAGATCTCTAACAACAACATGAATGAACTCTGCGAGTAAATAGGCTATGTACTTCGACAAACTTTGAGAAGAATATGGAAACAAATGACGACAAAAATGAGAACTGGAATGTTTAACAAAAGGCTGAGATGACTTTATTGGAGTTAAGGATACGCCCTCGATGGCCTTGCGCTCAATCCTACTTAAAAGGTCAAAATCTTGCGATGTGCGTAAACAAAATCAAAGTTCACAAAATACATTCCGCATGCTGCAGTAATTCAATTCAAAATTGATTTCATCCCCGCAGCCATATGAATATTGTGTTCTTGTTCAACAGTTAAATTTTGGAAAATAAAGCAAAGAGACACAATACCAACAATATCCAAAATTTCCCAGAATTGTTCCAAACAATCAATGAAATGTCAAATTTTAATTAATTAAGTTCCTTTATTATGGTTCACATAGGAGTTCTACAAAAATATCGAATAAATATCATGCAATGCAGTCTTTGATAATTTAGAGGTGTACTCGTTAGCGTATATTGAAATGAGAAGAAAGCAAAGATGTTTGCCAGTGACATGACAAAAAGTGAAGGAATTGATGAGAACTGGGAAGGGAAAAAAGCAGAAGAACGAGAATGTGAGAAGAAGAATTAGAGAATTGTGAGAGAAACGTGGGGGAGAAACATCACAGGTTGAATATCAACAAATCAATTGTCCACATTATTCAGAAAAATAGACCAATTTATACTTGAAACTCCCAATGGAAATGGGAAGTTGCCAAAACAACAAAATCGAAAATGTTTACAGGAAGAAAATGAATCAAAAAATATATTTCCCCTTTTTATGCCTACGGTAAGTTCTCCACGAAAAATTGTTGAACAG